GGTAGCGGAGGAAGTTGGACCAGCGGGAGAGGCCTTGCTCGTCCCAGTCGACGGCGGCAGTGGCGGCGACGGCGGAAGATGAGGATGAGGTAGGGGGAGGGTTGAGGAGGAGTAGCTTGCGCTTGACGAGGAGGTACTGGTGGCGCATGTTGTGGACCTTGTTGGCGGCGTCCTTCCAGGACCAGAGGAAGGGGTAGGCGGCAGGGTCGGCGGCGTGGTGAGCGGCGTTGACGTGGGCGGCGATGGGCCGGAATCGGCGCTCCCGGGTGCGTAGGCGCGAGATGGATCCGTCGGCCGCCATCTCGGCGTACTTGTCGAGGAGTGAACGCTCCTCCTCCTCCGTCCACTTCTTGCGCCTCGGCGCCATCAGCTATGACTTCCGCTGAGGAGGGAAGGATCGCATTGCCTCGAATTCTCTGCGCTCGGCCGCCGAGGAGGAGCAGCAGCAGAGGAAGAAAGCGGTCCGTCTCCCCCTTTTCTAGGCTCTTTGTCGTTGTCGTCGCTGCTGCGTTTTCTGTGGTGCTGCGTAGGGCCCGATCTCGATGTAGCAGTCTCAGAAACGAAGAGTATGTTGGACGAAACAGCGTGCAGGCTTGTTCGAGCCGACCTGGCAGGCTGCCATTGCATGCTTCCGTGGGACCGCTCGCGGTCTTCCCTTTAAATACGCGGCTGAGTTGATCGACCAATTAAATAGTTTTGTTTTCCACAATTACAATTCATTTTCCATAAATTAATATTAAGGGAATCCTGAAAAGTCCATTTCCAATTATTGTCACATAAAATTTTAGCTTTATGCTAAATTGCCAATTATATTAAGTAATTACGCACTCCTGTCCTAACTCAAGTCGTGGTGGAAACCTCTCTGGTAACCTAAGTTGTGGGACGAGTCGGGCACGCAATGGATGTTTCATGACTACGAACACGACCTTCTTCAACACGAAGACCTCCTCCTCCTTCTCGGTTGCGGGCTTCCACCGGAACTCCCACACCAGATTGGCCATGAAGTACTCGAGGTGGAGCATCGCCAGCCCCATTCTGGGGCATATCTTCCTCCCCGTACCAAGTGGCATCATCTTGATCTCCTTGCTCCCTGTGGTACGTCTTCCCTCACCATGTGTGGCAGCAGGAAGTGCGCCGGCGAGTGCGTCCGCAGGCCGTCCAAGATCACCGCTTTCGGATCTGTCGCTTTCTCTAGATCCTATCCTGGAATGCATCGCTCTAGTGTCCCCATCACCTCCTCGATCTCCTTCTTCAGTTTCTTCTGCAACACCGACTGCCTCACCAGGTTCGCTATGATTCACTGTAGAACCGTGGTTGTAGTGTCAGTGCCCCCGTTGTGGAACTCCGAGCATAAGCTTACGACCTCGTCATTGTTGAGCTTCCTCCCTTCGCCATCCGACAACTCCAGATGGAGGAGAGTGTGAGGTAGCAACGGGTTGCTTCTTCCGAAAGAGCAACATGACAGAATAAAATTGAAATAACCAACTCTATATTTCGTATGATTTGAGCATCAATCATCATAATATAAATATATATATATATATATATAACTTTGATTACTCTCAAATCGAAAATAGGCAAGATTAAGATTAACTTATAAAGATATAATGATTATATTATTATCAATCTTAGCTTAAATATTTTGATCAATAATTTAGATCAAACGAAGTTGAT